AGAAACTAGAGTACAGAGAAGAGCAGCAACGATGATTAGGGGACTGGACGCTAAAACATATAAAGAACAATTGCTGGAATTGGGTATGTCTAGTTTAATGAAGAGAAGGACGAGGGGTGACATGATAGCAGTGTTCCAATATCTCAGAGGCTGCCACAAACAAGAGGGAGTAAAGCTATTCTCCAAAGCACCTGAAGGCAGGACAAGAAGCAACCGATGGAAAATAACCAAAGGGAGAAGCAACTTGAACTAAGGAGAAATTTCCTGACAGTTAGAACAATTAATCAGTGGAACAACTTGCCTTCAGAAGTTGTGAATACTCCAATACTGGAAGTTTTTAAGGGACTGTACAGCCATCTGTCTGAAAGGGTATAGGGTTTCCTGCCTGAGCAGGGGGTTAGACTAGAAGACCTCCAAGGCCCTTTCCAACTCTATTATTGTTGTTGTTGTTGTTTTCTATACCATTTTTCCTGTCAGTTGGTTACTTAGATTGTAAATATGTAAAAAATAGCACTTACCTTTTTTCTGTGTAAACAGGAACAGTACGGAGTTTTGAAAACTGCCCCAAAACTGAAAGCTTATTTGAAAAAAATTGGGAGTGTTGATATTCAGAAATAATCTGAAATGGCAGCTAATTGTGAGGCACAAAGAATCAGGTCCAAAGGTGAAGAATTCAAATTTATTGATTTATTGCTCAAGCTCTGCACAAGAATCTTCTCAACTGATGGTTTGCCCTAGGTCAGTGGTTCTCAACCTTCCTAATGCCGTGACCCTTTAATACAGTTCCTTATGTTGTGGTGACCCCCAACCATAAAATTATTTTTGTTGCTACTTCATAACTGTAATTTTGCTACTATTATGAATTGTAATGTAAATATCTGATATGCAGGGTGTATTTTGATTGTTACAGATTGAACATAATTAAAGCATAGTGATTAATCACAAAAACAATATAGCAATGCTCGCTGGAGAAGCTTACTCTTCCTTGCTCAAAAATGTTGGGAGGGAGGGAAGGGGAAGGAAGGAAGATTGAAGGGGAAAGGAAGGAGATGGAGAAGGAAGGAAGATTGAAGAGGAAAGGAAGGAGATGGAGAAGGAAGGAGATTGAAGGGGAAGGAAGGAAGGAAGGAGAAAGAGATTGAAGGGGAAGGGATGGAGATGGATGGAAGGAAGGAAGGAAGGAAGGAAGGAAGGAAGGAAGGAAGGAAGGAAGGAAGGAAGGAAGGAAGGAAGGAAGATTGAAGGGGAAAGGAAGGAGATTGAAGGGGAAAGGAAGGAAGGAAGGAAGGAAGGAAGGAAGGAAGGAAGGAAGGAAGGAGAGATTGAAGGGGAAGGGAAGGAGATGGAAGGAAAGAAAGAAGGATGGATGGATTGATCTTTGGAGAGTCATGTTTTCCCAGATGGTGATGAACTGCAACTCCCAGCATTCCCCACTCTTCCACAGTGCTTTTTAGGGCTGCTGGGGATGGTAGTCCAGAAAGGTCTGGAGACACACACAGATGCCCTAGCAGGGAAAATTGGCCGAGTAATTGCTGCAGCTTTACTTGGAGGCATTCTGCAGCTCCTGAAAATCACTTTAACCAATTTTCCCTGGTTCAGCAAAGGCAACAAGTAATAAAACAAGCAACAGGTACCGGTAATGAAATAGTCCAAATTGTCCTTTCCAGCGCAGATAAAAAGAACCAGGGAAAGGGAAATCGCACCTGCCTCTTTGACCAACGGGATGAGAAGCAGTAGGAAAAGCATGGCATTTCGGCTTGGGCACACAGCCTTGCCCGCAGTGCTGCCAAGGACACACAAGCAGCTCCGTACAATTGCCCGGGAAGGAGGGGAGGCTGTGGTGGAGAGTCTGGCGGAGACCCAAGTGGGGTCACCTCCGGGGCCTCAGAAGCCGCGCAGAGGATCTGCGTGCCTCAGAGCCGCCGGCCGCCCTCTCACACCTGCCAACCTGGAGTCCTCCATCCTCATCCCGGCACCTCTTGCCCTCTCAGCCGCCCCCCTGGGACCTGCCCGCCCCTCCAGCCTTCTAAGCGCCATCACAGCAGTGGGGTCGCGGGAGCCTCTTTCCACGCCGCACAGCCCTTCACCGCCAAACCCTTCCCCAACTCATTGCACACAAGAGGGGCGCGGCCGGAGCACCAGTTCCCACTCGGAAGGCGTTGCTTCTCCCCTTCCGGCCCGGCCGCCTGGTCTCTGATGCACATGCGGGCATCGCCGCCGCCTCGCCCTCTTCCCTGCCTCCTGGCCGCTTCTGAGGCCCAGAGCCCAGCGAGCCGGGAATGAGCTGCTCCTGCCCGCCAGCCACAGGGCTGCACTGGGCACCAGAGGGCCGAAGTGGCCTCTGACGGCAAGGGAGATGGGCTGGGCGGCACGGGGGAGGCTCTGGTACGGCGCGGAGGGCAGCCAGGAGCAGAGCATGGCCGGACAACCAGGAGGCATGGGGACCGGCTCACCGCCACAGCTCAGCTCAGTCAGTGACGGCAGCAGCGGAACAGCCCAGCGGCAGTGCCAGTAGCGGCCCAGATCCAGCTCAGCCCGGCCACCCACGCAGCTGAGCCGGCCTGGGGTGATGTCGGGGGCGCGCGCAATGGCGCTGCAGCGGCAGGAGCAGGCGCTGTCAGAGAAGGGCGCCCTGGAGGTGGAGGAGCCGGCAGAGGAGGAGGAGGGCAGCGGCAGAGGCCAGATAGAGGAATGGTTTCTCGGTTCCTAAGACCATTGGAAATATGTGTTTTCCGATGGTCTTAGGCGACCCCGTGAAAGTGTCGTTTGACCCCCAAAAGGGTCACGACCTACAGGTTGAGAACCGCTGGCCTAGGAGAAACAAAGAATTTGGTAAAGAGCCATACTTTGTCTCCTATAGCAATTGGTAGCCCTTTCTATCAATGGACACCTGCAGCCTTCCTTCTTGTAAGACTGTTTAGACTGTTCCAGCTGCTGTTTCAAGGGTGCTTGGGCAGCCAGCTGCTCCTGCAAAATAATTAACTGCCCCTGGGATGGTGCCCTCCTCCCTCGAAGCCACTGGCAAAACCCTCAGGTGTCTGCCATGCAGAGCTTGACAGGGGACTAAAGTAATCAATCTGTGTAGAGCGTTATTGTAGGAAAATTCTGCTAGGGGAAACAATAAGAGCCAATTACCTTCACTGCAGGTGTAGTAACATCTTAAGTATTGCTGGAGCATCTGCTTAGTTTTCTCAGCTTTACCATTCATGGCTTGAGGACAAGCTAACCTGGAGATTCAAAAATTGTAACAGTGTCTTTCAGAACCTGGAAGTAAATTGACGGCCCCAGTCCGATACAAGTATGGACACCATGTGATCCAAAAAGAGTTGAGCTGTTTCTTTGGTGGTGGGCAAACTTTGCAAGGTATAAAATGAGCCATTTTGATACAAAGTTCTTCTACAACTGGTATGGATTTATAGCCATAGACCAGAGGTAGGTCATATAATAAAATCCATAGAAATAGTATGCCGAGGATGGGGTGGGGTTGGAAGAGGTTGTAAGAGGCTTGCTGGCTTCTGATGATGGTAACTGTAATTATAATCCTACGCATCTAGCCCAGAGGAAGGCTATTATAGTTTCTTTCTTGTACTTTATTGAGAAGTTTTGGCAGGATTGCTATTCCAACTCATTCCCATTTTCTTCAGTCCAGCCCAATGGAATATTGAAGATCAATTATTTGAATAGACTCAAGACTTGCCAGCAAGGTAACTGAAGTTAGTGTAGGAGAGGAAGCCAGCAACAACAGAAAGATAAGGTATAAAACTGAGCTGGTAAAAGAAAATTCAAGGGAAAAAATTATCTATTACCATATATCCATCCATGTGGGGAAAACAATTTTGCTGTGGACTGGAATGTTGCCTTATCCTCCATTCTAAGGCCTCCATTTTTCTCAGGCACATGATCCAGAATGGAGCTCTTACTAAAGAGCTGGCCAGAATTCCAGAAGCTATATTTTGTATGTAGCTTCTATCTTGTTCCTTTTTTTACTTCAAGAGAGGTGTTTTTTTTTTTTTAATATGCCAGGAGTTGCTTAAAGCCCCTTTCAGAATACTATGTTGTTATAATCATGAGGAAAAGTTACTGCTTTGAACAATATTTGTCTGTTTAGCTGTATTTGTTGCTTCAACTCCAATCTCTACTAAAGCCTTTAACCAAGCTGCAGATTTAAAATAAAATATATAAGAAGAGCTAGAACAAGTAACTATTTTGTTTGAACCATTTTTTCCAGTGTGCATCAAGACTCAAAGTCTACCTTCTGAGTTGGATGGGGAGTGGCCAAGAAAATGAGTATGATCAATATTAAAAGTATTCATTGAAGAGCCCATCTTCTCTCCAACACCCCAACTATTTTAATTCAAATAAGCAAAAGTGATTGTTGATGTGTTATCTTTTTGGTAAAGTGGAGGGAAAAAAGCAATTTTTGATCTTTTTATATTGGCTTTGAAATCAGAACTTGTGAAAGAAATTATTTATTATGATCCTTCATCCTATATGCTTTATGAAAATTAACCATATGCATTTTTATTAGCACAATATGCAGGGGCTTTTTTCCACTACTTGTCAGAGGAAGAACAAAGAAATAAACTTTTCAGAAACATAGGTTTGTAGGATTTCAGTTGCTCTTGATTACATGCTACTAAACATTTAAAAACTGTTCTGCCTTACAAGATCCTAGCCAAAATTCCTGTTTGTTTTTTTAATGGAAATTTTCAAAATGCTTTTTTCTAGAATTAATAATCTAAAATTCCTTAAATTCTATTCCATCTTCCCCAAATTACTCACTAGACCAAGTCAGATGCCTTCCCTTGTCCAAGATTAATCAGTCTAAATGAAGAAGATGCAGCATATTAACTATTCTGAATTATGTATGGAGGGGAGCCTTCTGAAAATGTATATGAACCCATCTCTAAGGTCATAATAAATGAATAGAAAATGAATGGGTAAAAATAGATAAATACTATAAAATCAGAAATGCTCATTGGTTCATTTTTTAATTTCAGGTTCATGTTGGGAAAAGGTTTGAAACGCAAGCTGAATGATTATGAAGAGAACATGGCTGGTGTGTCAAGTGCCTTTGATTCCAGTCGAAACCTGCCATACCCACTCAAGCGTCAGTTGGTGCTCAATGTTTGCCTTGCCAAGTTACAGACATATAAGATGTTGGTGGAACCAAATTTACATCGTTCTGTGCTTATAGCCAATACGGTCAGACAAATCCAAGAAGAGATGAGGCAAGAAACTAGCCAACAGTCTGTTAACATGTGCAGTGGTTTAAGTACCACCCCTTCTAATTACTTAGGTTTTGATTTGTTTGGAATGCCTTCACACTTTCTGCCTGGTATTATTCAACCGGAATCATATGGTTATGAACCACGGTCTATGGAAAGTCCAATTGAAAATAGCTTGTTGATGGTTTCAGATAATGACATGTCATCAGCCATTTCCTCTATTCTAAAAGATTTGGATTTCATGGAAGATGTGAGTCCACCTTCTTACTTGGCTGGATCTGAAGATGATCAATTCAAGACTTCTGAAATGTCAGTTCTTAAATTAGAAGAAGATAGACAAGACTTGAAAGGAGTAGAATGTGTGTTTGGTTCCTTTGAAATTTCAAATTCAACTAGTTACTTGAAGGACTTAGCTATTGATGACATATTTGAAGATATTGACACTTCAATGTATGATTCAGACTTTGATTGCCCCTCGCCAACTCCTCCAAGAACACTGTCTGTGGCAACAACAGAAGAAATGTTGAAGACATTCCCTTCTTGCAATTCTTCCTCAGCAAACAACATCCCAATATGCAGAAGTGATATCACAGATTTAGACCATATTATGGAAATACTTGTAGGGTCCTGACACTTTTGCTAGCCCAAAGATACATTTTCCTATGTTGCCATACAATGCTGGTTTAATGATAAGTCCCAAAGGGAGAGCAGACTTCAAAGTGTTATGCCACAAAGGCAGCTACAGTCATTTTCCTTCAATGGTTCTCAAAACCTCCCTAAAATTCATATAAACCAAAAAAAAAAAAAAATGACAGTCTGTTAGATAAAATGGAGTATTTATTAAATCAATTGTGCAATCTTTTTAACCTTTTTAGGCTATACATGAGTATATCTCATGTGTTTCTAACTTTTTAATGTGCAATTTTAATCTGAAGGATTTGCAGAACAGTAATTTTCATAAGGGGAAACATCTGAAGTCTAAAGATTTATTTTTAGTATTACATTATTGGCATTCACTGAAATTGCATACTTGGATTTGCAGCCTCAGTACAGTATATTTTTAAAGTATTTAAGGAACTATAGATCTCTTCCCCTTGATTGAAGATTCTAGATACTTGGCAGCAAAATCTCTTGCATTTTATAAAACATTTAAAATTATTTATTTTTGTAAATTTTATAGCCTTTTTACATTTTATTACAATATTCTAGATTGGAGATGAATTTCTGGCTGGATGTGGCTGGCACTACCTCTGTTAGCAGAAATGCTTTAACTCTTTGCTTTGTCTAACACTGCAGATCTTTTAGTTTTCTTGGATGATATTTCTGGTGGTAGAAGCAAACAGCAATTTGCTGATTGGTTAAATTTTATGGTATTTAACTGTAATTTATATGTATATTGTCAAATTTTAGAATTTTGTCAGTATTATGTGCATCAATTTGGAGGTAATATAGCTTTTTACAATTTAGTATTTTCTGTATAGTTTGAGCTATTTTAATTCTCTGAAACAGAATGTTAGATTTTATGTGCAATATATCACTTAAGCAGGCCACTTTTGCACATCCTACATTATAAGGAAATACATAAAATCTAAATGATGGAAATTTATAATACTGTGTTATCAGAGGTATACCATGCAATTCTGTCTGCTGGCAGCTCTGTAAGAGTTGAATATGGCTTGCCTAAGCACCGCTCTGATTTTGTACATTTCCTTTTCTTAAAATGGAACTTCAGTTATCCAAAGTGCTTGCAATGGATTGTATCTTCTTAGTGGCAGTTTTTATCTTGGTTTGGCCAAATAAAGTTCTAATTGAGTAGAAGCCCAGCAAATCATGCTGCCATTTAAGAGTTAGTAGTCTGCCTACATAAGAATTACACTTCAAATTAAAGAATAGTTTTTTTGCCACAACCTAAGATAGGTTTGACATTTGCACATAATATGCTGAAGTGTTCAATTCATTGTGTATAAAGCCTGTCCTAGTCCAGCTTTGGTGCTATTTGGCAGACTTAGTGCTGGCACCATTTGGGGACAGCTCTGTATTGCCAAAATGTTGACATTCCAATGACAAGCCTGTGCTGTTCCATAGTCATAGAAGCAGCACCTGTTCACTTCATACTGAAGACACATAGCCATTCTTATGTTCTAATGTTGCATCCCTGAGGGATCCAGTAAATTTTAAAATGATATAATAAACCACTCATTGAGCAATACAATAGATGTAGATAAGTAAAAAATGTGGGAGAAACAGGAAAATATTACCATTCTATCTACTACTACCAGGTAGACTTTTATGTGTGTACCTATCCATGTACTCCTCATTGCTTCCAATGCTAACAAACTTGAAAGTTTGCTAGCATTGGAAGTAAAACATCCATACTTAGTTGCATACCCACAGTATCTGATTTTTGTTTGCAGCAGAAAAAAATGCCTACCTTAATATTTATAACTAATAACCTGCCTCCAGAAACAGTGAATGCTCCAACACTCGAAGTTTTTAAGAAGAGACTGGGCAGCCATTTGTCTGAAATGGTATAGGGTTACCTACCTGAGCAGGGGATTGGACTTGATGACCTCCAAGGTCCCTTCCAACTTTATTATTATTATTAACTAAGTTTTCTAGGAGGATGGGAGGTACTTTTTTAAAATGAACTATAAAATACACATTGGCTAATCTTCATCTGAATTGCAGTAGAAGCTGCTTATAGTATAGTCATTTTTTGATGATAAGTTCTTGCCATGGAGATTACTTAGCAGGTTGGATTCCTTAAAATAATCTATTGGGGCTAACTCTCCATTCAGAATCTCATTGTTACATAACAATAGCTGCACAAATAGCACCTTTCATTTCCATCTCCCATTTTTTGTGGTGTTGGAACCAATCCACTACTCAACTTGAAATGCAATGAGATTCGGATCACCTGATGTAGTTGCTGCATTGAATATATGTAGCATTGCATTTAGGGAATGAAAAGGAGCTTCTTTGAAACTGAATACCCAGTACCACTATAAGAGAAGTAGAGTCGGACATCCATGGTGCAATACTAATACCAGCCACAGAAATGCCAGGAAGGATTTCTGATTAGTCTTAGATTGAAGGACTATTTGGGCCTTAAAGACTGCAATTTAGAGTAAAAACTAGCCTATTGACAAAGCAACTACTGTAATGTTAGAATATGGTTGATGCATTCGTAAGAGTAGTGATCATCAGGATGTAATTGTGGCTATTGCTATCCTGTATCAATGTTATTTCTCTTCATTCTTTCTACTTCACTGTACAAAAGGAATCCTGCAAACATCAGTGGAACATTAAGATTTTGCCTTATGTTTAATCTTCAGCAAGCATCAAATGCAGTCTTTTGTTGAAAACCCGTGATTGTTTCTTTTATTTACTACTGGTTCTTTACTTTGCACCCAACTTGAGTTGGAGCTGGATTCTACAACTAATGCCAAGTCAATCCAGTTTTATTTGCTTAATGCATACTTTGGCAGGTGAAATGTATTTATATGCATAGGAAATTTGCAATTACATCTAAACCATAGCAGGCCCTTTTCCAAAACATTTTCTATCCTTTACGTAAAAAGGATTAAGTAAAAAGAATTTATACAGGTTGTGCATAGTGCTTCTTTGTACATAGAAAATTAATCTAAGAGTGGTAAGGGCCCTCTGCACTATGATAAAGCAGACTAGTGGCTAAAAATATTTTTAAAAATTCCCTTAATAAATATTCATATCTAATTTGTTGTCATTTACAATTCTTAAGCTTAAAGATACGATCAAGTATCTGAACTGCACAAGTAATATATCAGTGGCAGCAACATGCAGATTCGCTGCCAATTGTTGATTAGGTATCGCCAAAGTAGTTCTGGCTTGAAATAAAGGTTAGGTCTTATGTACAAGGTTTCCTGAAAGGTAAAGATGTTGGTTCTTCTCTAATCATGATTTCACACCCTTCTCATCTTCAGAATACATTCCAAAGTGGTTTCCAATCTTACCTGAAATACTGGCAGAAATAATTCTTGAACATAAACAACAATGGCATAAGCATTGTGTTTTTCACTTTTTCAGGCCATAGAACCCTCTGGTCAACTTCTAGCTTCAGAAAAGGAAAGAGATCCCACCTAATTTCAAACTTGTGTTTCTTTTTTGAAATGGGTAGTCCTCAGATTATGGCACAAATAAGCCTGGAATTTCCATCACCAAAGCAGCCAAAGTTGAATGTTACATGACTGCATAGCTTAGCAATGGCAATTCTGGCAGCTGTTGTAACTCGGGACCATGTAGCTTCTTAGGTGGGAAAAACTGGGAATCGCAGGCAAGGAGTGTAGGGGAATGCCATGTTCAAGGGCAGTAAAGCTTCATGGTCCCTGTGGATTTTCCCATTGACTTTGCTTGTGGAAGCCAGCAGGGAAGGTCACAAATTATGACTGTGATTGCAGCTTCCCACAACACTGTCACGAGCTGAGCCCCCAAGCGTTGTTCACAGGGATGCTGTGAAGACCACAACTTTGCTCACAGGCCATAAGTGCCCTTATTTAACACCTCATAATAGAGCTTACATTACAGCAAGAAAAAGAGTGTGATGTTATTTTAAGCAACAGACTTGCAGCAAGAACATGTGCAGTGGCTGTCAGTGGTTGACTGGCCATCTTAGGACAAATTATTTCCTTTAACGTGTCAAACTTGTTCAAGGTAAGACTTCTACTTCTGCTTTCAAGTTGTGCAAGATAAAATTTGTTACTTTCTTAATTGATAATGGTTGGCATGAGTTTATATAGATTCCAATCATCAGTTGCAAACAAATTTTAGGTACAAGTTGAGAACAGTAAGTTTATGCTAGAGTAGACTACATGCAGAAATTCCTTATCCAGGCCTCATTTTTTCAGTTAAAGGGATCACATAAATTCCCTATTTAGGTGCTAAAGAATGGGTTTTAAATCTGAGCTAGCACAAGAAAGCCACTTGGGGAGATGAGATTATTTATTTAAAAGGTTCGTATGTGCACAAATCTGGGTCCCTCACAATAATAAGATTGCAAACTAAAAAACTTGCCACCTTGAGCATCTCCTAGCACTTAGACTTATATATCACTCCATAGTGCTTTGCAGCACTCTGAGCAGTTTACAAATGCCAGCATATTGCCCCCAACAATCTGGGTCCTCATTTTACCGACATTGGAAGGGTGGAAAGATGAAGACAACCTTGAGCCAGTCAGGATTGAACTCCTGGCAGGGGACAGAGTTACTCTGCAATGCTGCAGATTCTAACCACTGTGCCACCATGACTCCCAACACTGTGATTTCCCCACCAGCCATGCATAAGCTCCCAACATTGGACCTTAATACCTAGGTAAAGAGCCAGGTTTTGATGGCCTTCCAGAAGGCTAAGAGTGGGAACCTGCCTGCCACAAAGAAAGAGCACCTATGGAAAAGGCAGGGTTCTAGATCCCTCAACTGTACACAGCAGCATTTCAGAAAAGCCTACTCTATCCAGTCTAGTAGGATGGGCATACAGTGTTCTAATGGGAGCCAGTGCAGCTCATGTAATGGTGTAACATGAACAAACAAGGGTGCCCACATTGCTTGTGTTCTGCATTCTGGGCCAGATATAGATTCCAGGTGGCCTTCAAGGGCGGTCCCATATACAATACATTGCAGCATTCCAAATAAGAGGTGCTCAGTCTCCTTGAACAGTGAGATGGGTGGCATATTAAATTTAATAAAGTGGCCAAGAAGTGCTTGTGAGCTAGGTGTCTCCATCCAAAAAAGGATGCAATTGACACACAAGGCAGGTCTGTGCAAATCTCCAGACATATTATCGACCCCAAGGGGCCAAAAACCCAAAGTCACCCTATTTTGTAAAAATAATAAAGGTTGGATACAAATACATAATAATCTTATCAAGGTTAAGTTGAAGTCAGTTCTTCCACATTCAAAACCTCACAGCCCCCAGGGACTTGGTTAGCACTCCAACAGTATCACCTGGTCAGACCAGGGTGGAAATATTTAATAGGGTATCATCAGCATACTGATAATGCTGCACCACCTCATCCAGCAGTTTAAATATTAAAGTGGAGAAATGTGAGACCAGAGCCCTGAGCACCCCTCACTGCAGGGCACAGGGCATGACCTCTCCCCATCACTACCACTGACGAACTGATCATGAAGAAAGGAGGGAAACCACTGCAAAACAGCATTTTCCACTCAACACCCAAAACTTTAGATGGCAGGACGGGCAGCATATAAATTTAATTAATCTGGTTTAGAAATTTACTGTACTACAATTGATGGTATCGAAAATAGCTGAGAGATCCAGGAGAGCCAGGTCAGTTGCATCACCTGTCCCAAGCCCGCAGAGATCCTCTTCAAACACAACAAATGCCATCTTACTATACACCAGTCTGGACCTGGCCTGAACTCAGGGTTCAAATAATTGATTCCATCCAGGGCCCTTTGAAGTTAAGTGCCAACTCACCTGCACATGTAATCAACAGGATTTCTGCACTTGCATCAGAGACAACTGATAAGAATGGCTCAGATTGTGACTGTTTCAGTGTTACACACAGAGAAGTCAATAAAGATTTGTTAGTTTTATCAACTTTAGATTTATTAATGTTACAAGCCTTCAGACAGTGGTAGGAACGTGTCTGCATAACTCTGACGCACCTGTCACTAAACAGCTACTAAACCAGGGTTGAAGAACCCTTTGATGGTAAGGGACCCTCAAAAGTTGTAGTCAGGAATGCCTAATGCAACACAGTTTCTCACCCTTGAATTACACAAAGGCAAACTGCAAGTTTAACTGAACTATTATTCTAAAAATGAATGGTAGTACACAAAATAGTGCTCAATAGGTTTTACTCCATTAGCTGAGAAGAACCTATGCAAACTGTAAACATAGTAGAGGATAGATTAGGCTGCATCCAGATAGCATTTGTCCTGGCAAGTCAGAAGCTACATAAGTCTTTGCTAGTAATAAGCCAATAGGTATGGACTAAAAGGCTTTATAAAATTTATCAGAAACTCTGGAATATAAATTGCAAACATTTTAAAACAAAGGAAAGAAATTACTCTAAAACAAGGGGAGGTTATAGTACCTGATTGTTCATGATAATAGAAACTAAGGACATGACTTCCCATATATTAATCACCATACTGAACAAACTATTTTTGTAACCATTTCTCAGTTTTAAAATGACCTGGATATCAAAGTAAGGGAGATGCTGAAGTACTAGCTGTAGTAGCAAGATGTATAAGTACAAACTAATTTGAATACAAGGGACTTATTCACCTACTTCAAGAAATGTTATCAGTATGCCAGACTCTCTGTACCAAAATCAGCAGACTAATATGAAATGGTTCCCTGAAGTTTAATAAAAAGAACCTAAACTACTGTTTTTTACTAAGTGCTAGTTTTAAAAGCCAGGCTTCCAATATGAAAAATATGAAATATAGTTATATAGAAATGATGACAGCAGTTATCCAGGATTGCTTGGAAAAAAACATAGCAAAAAGTGAATGCTCTCTTATTTCTGCAGTGCTAACAGAAGCAATTCATTTCAATGTGCACACGTGCTCATAAATGGATATCAGCCATTGAGTTTGCCTGTTACTCAACTATGTTAAAACAAGAATAACAAAATAAGCATTTGCTTTCAATGCTATACAGCAGGACAGTTGAGCAACACAAACCAAACATTTCCAGATTTTTTTCTTTGCAAGTATATCACGAGAAGGACCTCTCTTGTACAGGCTTAAATGTATTATGCTTATTTTAGGGTGCACAGTACAGCTAGTCAATCTCATTACAACACAAAAATTATGATGGAAGGATCTTCAGGTCACATAAACAGGTTCAGGAGCCACAGTGTGCCTTTCTACAGCAAGAGGAGAGATCAAGATTTAAGGATAAAAATTCTTGAAAAAAGTCAAATCAAATGCAAACTTATTGAGAGTAGACAATGGGTTGTTATACAAATTAGTACATTTCCCTGCCAGGATAGTTGGTAAGACTTACCAGTGGAATTGCAGCTGATAAAAAAAAATCAAATGTAACAGAGGCAGGAACATACACTATGTATTCTAGGTATCATATCTGTCTAAAACAGTTTAGAGGAACAGTGATTGGGCACACAAATAGCACAACACATGTTTTTAAAATAGGGCGCAATTAAAAGGGTTTTTAAAATGTCAGCAAAAGAGCAAGAGTGACCACAGCACATTTGCCATCTCTGAAAGCATACTTCTGGTTTGTTCTTTTAGTGATTTATCCATTAGTGACATCCTGACCAAACCATACTCATATCTATACAATAAAATACATGGATGAAGCACATTTCCCCCCCAAAGACATTTCTTTTTAAAATTTGTTTACAAAAGTGATACAACGGCAAACATTTCCATTAGCAAACATTACTGCTAAATATTTTCATTCTTAAACTTTGTGCAGTAAAAAACCTCTTTTTTTGTGAAACTGTTATATATTGCATATTTGCACTGGATGGAGTCTTCTTCAGGAACAAGTTATAAGTAAACAGATGATTCTGTCTTGGCTCAGGAGTTACAGATAGCTGTGCAAAACAAAAGAAAGTAACTGTGTACTATTGATCTATTACACGCCAGCATATATTTGACATAGATCTGCTGCTAATAATAGTTTGATGACAAATGCATCCTAAGAGATATCCCACCCCAAGTTTTTTTCTGTGAATACTACACGAACATATTCTATCTCTATTC